TAGTTCAAATCCTGGAACTTCCACTTGGCTGTAAGATTGTACACAAGTCCCTTGACCTATCTGATTCTAGATTTCCTTATCTGTAAAAATAAATAAATTGAAAGAAAAAGAAAAGAAAGAAACCTTGTCACCTACCTCACAAAAGTTGCTGTAGAAGTTAAGTGAGATGATGCCAAGGAATGCTTTGAGTGCATAGTAGTAGGTGCTCATTAAATGGTGATTTTGGAGCCTGAACTGATGTTTTTCTGGCAGAGAAAATAGTCTATGCTGAGTCAAGACAGTGAAGGGTTATATTTGAGACGGAATCAATAGGGTTTAATGAATAGTTCATAGACAAGCTGAAAGAGAGAAGAATAATGGCTTCAAGCACCAGACTTGGAGGCCTAGATGCAGCTTGTTCGGTGGATGGATAATCCTTTGGGTACCTTTGAAGGACCAGGCACTGCTCTGGGTGCAGGGAGAGAACTCAGTGAACTAAACAGAAGAAAATGCTCTACCCTGTGGAGCTTCCTCCCCAGTGAGGGAGACAGACAATGAGAAAAACATGGAGGAGAATAGAGACTTTTTAACAAGTGGTGCTGGGAGCCGGGTGGGGTGGCACACTCCCGTCATCCCAGTGGCTTGGGAGGCTGAGGCAGGAGGATGCTGAGTTCAAAGCCAGTCTCAGCAACAGTGAGGCACTAAGAAACTCAGTGAGACCCTGTCTCTAAATAAAATAAAAAATAGGGCTGGGGATGTGGCTCAGTGGTGAGTGCCCCTGAGTTCAATCCCTGGTACCCCTCCCCCCCAAAAAAATGGTGTTGGAAAAACTGGATATCTGTATGTAGAAGACTGAAACTAGATACCTGTCTCTCACCCTGCACAAAAGTCAACTCAAGGTGTATCAAAGACCTAGGGATCAACCAGAAACACTTGCAACATAGTGAAAACATAGGGCCAACATATTGGCCCAGGAACTGACTTCCTTAACAAGAATCCTAAAGCACAAGAAATAAAACCAAGAATCAATAAGTAGGAAGACATCCCATTAAAAGTTTCTGCACAGGGCTGGGGCTGGGGCTCAGTGGTAGAGCGCTTGCCTAGCATTTGTGAGACCCTGGGTTCGATCCTCAGCACCACATAAAAATAAATAAATAAGGGTTTTGTGTCCAACTACAGCTAAAAAAAATAAATATTAAAAAAAGTTTCTGCACAGCAAAGGAAACAAGAGCATGAAGAGAGAGCCTACAGAATGGGAGAAAATCTTTTGCCAGTACTCATCCAACAGGGGATTAGTATGTAGAATATATAAAGAACTCAAAAAACTTAGCCCCTAAAACACAACCCACTGAATAAATGGACAAAGGAACAGAACAGATGCTTCTCAAAAGAAGAAATACAAATGGCCAACAAAGATATGAAAAAATTGTTGACGTCTCTAGCAATCAAGGGAACTCAAATCAAAACTACATTGATATTTCATCTCACTCCAGTTAGAATTGCAATCAGAAAGAATACAAATAATAATGAATGCTGGTGAGGACCTGAGGGCGGGGGAGGTCCACTCTTACATTGTTGGTGGGATCGAAGATTAGTACAACCACTTTGGAAAGCCAGCATGGAGATTCCTCAAAAGACCAGGAATGAACCCACCATAAGGCCCAGTTTTCCCATTCCTTGGTATTTATCCTAAAGAAAACTAAAATCAGCATACTATAGGGATTCGGGCACATCAGTGTTTATAGCAGTGCTATAACTAATTCACAATAGCCAAGTTATGAAATAAGCCCAGGTGCCCATCAATAAGGTGAATAGATAAAGAAAATGTGGTGCATATACACACAATGGAGTTTGACTTAACCATAAGGAAGAATGAAATTATTTGCTGGTAAATGAATGAAGCTGGAGAAGATGATGCTAAGTGAAGTGAGCCTGACTCAGAAGGTCAAGGGTCAAATGTTCCTTCCTCTATGCCGACGCTAAACCAAAATAAGGGGGGAAGGTGGAGCAGGGAGTCCCATGAAATTAGAAGAGTCATCAATGGAGCAGAGGAAGGAGATGGAGGAGGAGGAAGGAGGGATGGGAAAAGAGAAAAAATATGGAAGGAAATGGACCAAATATTGCTGTGTCCACATATGAATATACCACAGTGAATTTTTCCTTTAGGGATATCTATAAAGCACTAATTTTAACATATATATGTAAATAAATAGAAAGAAGACCAATAGGGTAGAGCAAGGAGAACAGGAGAAGGGGGGAGGAGAGGGGGAAGAGGAAGTACCAGGGACAGAAGTGATCTAATTATATCCCATGCATGTCTGATTATATCAAATTGACCCCCAATATTATGTATAATATAGTCTGCTAATAAAAACATAAAAGGAAATAATTAAAAAGTAAATGAGAATTTTTTTTCTGATTGCGAGAACTGACTTAGGCCATGAACAGGGTAGGGGGGATGGAGTATAAGAAAATAGACTACTTAGACAGAATGCCCCAGAAGGCCTCTCCTGGCAGAGAGGGGTACACATCCTGAACAATGAGAAGAGGTCAACAGACGAGAGGAGGGGAAGTCTCGAGGAGGAGGGAGCAGCAGATATGGAGACCTTGGGATGGGAAAAAAATTGGTGAGAAGTTGGGGGGAATTCCATGTAAATGAAGCACAGGCAAAAAAGGAAAGAACTGGCAGAAAGGGGAGGTTGGAGAAGTGGTAGGACCACCAGGCAGCAAAGAGGGAGCCGTGACAAGCAGGTTCTTATGGAACAGGTGCGGTTTGAGGTGCTTAAGGGGATCTCTAAGCCAAGGATCCAGGGCTACCTGCTAATAGTGGAGACAGTACAAGTACTTAAGAAATCATCCAGTTGCATCAAAATTGCCAGACAGGGGAGGTGGGAGTTCCTAGAAATATGGATTTCTCAGGCATTAAAAATTACAGAATTTCCTTTTTTGGAAATTCTAATTCAAGCTAGGTCTTTCCCAAGTCCTGGAAATCATTTTTTTTTCAACATTCCAAGTAGGTCTTGGCCCATTTGAGTTAGGCCTACAGGAATTGGTCAATATTCCCAGATCCCTCTGGACCACTTATTCAAGAACTATTTCCTGCACCCTTAATGTGGACCTGGATAATTCTTTTTTTTTTTAAACATTTTATTTTTTATTTATTTATTTATTTTTTTTTTTTTTTTAGTTTTCGGTGGACACAACATCTTTGTTTGTATGTGGTGCTGAGGATCAAACCTGGGCCGCATGCATGCCAGGCGAGCACGCTACCACTGAGCCACATCCCCAGCCCATCAGGATAATTCTTAAATGCTCAAGATGCAACTCTGAACAGGTTAGAGAGCTTACAGTCTAGAGAAAGAAAGTGAATGAGTTAGTTAAAAAAAAAAAATCACAACTGTGATACATGCCAAGACAAAAAAATACAACCTAGTAAGATATAGAATAATTATGGGACCAATTTATCTATGTGCTAGATAAATCCAAAGACTTCTCTTTGAGGAAGTGACATCTGAACTGACCATTGAGAAATAAGAAGGGAGAAGCCATGTGACAGTTGTCAGGAGGAACAGCATTCCTGAGAGAGGGATCAGCCAATGCTAAGGCTGAAGCTAATCTTTTGGTTTATCCCAACTTGATTAACCAACCAAAATAGGGGAGAGGGCATGGCGGAGAAGGTGTTCTTTCACCTTTGAGTGGTCCTCCAGAAAGCTCTGTCAAGCATATACATAGTACCAGGCACTTGGTGACACAAACACGAGTAAGATGTTCCCCTCTCTCAGGGAGCTTGCCTTCCAGTTAAGGAGACAGATTACCAAATAAGTATGACCTCATGAGACAAGAGGGAACATCTCAGAAAATCAGTTCACGTTCTGTGAAAGTCAAGCAGATGATTAATACTTTTGAGTCTGATGATGTGAGCAATTGTTTTTGAGACTGTGGATGACAAATTATGCTCATTTTTATTTTCCTGCCAACTCAGAATATCTGAATATCAGGTGGAATATTTGCAACAGTGAATATTGGGTGTGAGATACTATAATCAACAATATTTGGGAGAAATAGCACCCTAATAATAGCTAACATTTATGAAGCACAAAAATTTGTCTGGCTTAGTACGTAAACTTGAGTCCCTCACAGGGACTATTACTCCCCTTTCTCAGATGAAGAATTCAGGGCCCAGTGAGGTGAAGGGACTTTCCTGATGTCATTCCTCCCCCATGTGACAATTTCCCAGCTTTGTCAGGGTTCAGAGGCTCAGTTCTAGTCACTCATGCATGACCTAGATGCTGATACAATTGCTGTCTTCACCCCAGTTTCCAAAGTGGATCCCTCTCTCTTCTCTCCATCCCAATTATGTATCTGAGTTGTCTACACCAGCTGGATTCACCTGCATTTCTCGGGTCCTATTGGTGAAAAAAGTGGAGAAGAGAAAAATTCTTTGTTTCCACGTTTGGGAGAAAGTGGAAGGCTCTGGTACAAGCCTTGAGTGACTCCAGTCTCCTGTGCCCTCTGTGGAGTGTGGGAAGCACGGAAAGCCTGTTATCCAATGGATAGGGTGTGGCGGGTCCCCTCTAAAGTATTCAAACTCAGCTGCTTTGGGGGAAAAAAAATGAACTGGCCATCTTTAACCTTCAGACTATGCAGTTTGAAGTGTAAAGGGACTTCTTGGCTTTCACCTGCCCTGAGTCTCCGGACCTAGTGTGAGTGGGTGCATCAGTCCAGTGGTTTCTGGGTGTGTTCAGGAGCGCAAGGTCTTCCTCTGCCTTTGCTCCATTTCTCAGGGTAACTGGCTCCTTCTCTTCTCCCTCCCTCCCTCCCTCCCTCCTCATGGGGAGGCTCTTGGCCCAGGTCCCTGAGCCCGGGGAAGTGCAGGGGGAGGACGCAGGAAGGGTGAGATCACATCTCCCTGGAGTCCCGTGCAACCGGCTTTTCAGAGCCTCGCCATGAGCCGGCAGACAGAGCCCCACACGGCGCAGACCGTGGGCTCCGCCGTCCTCCCTGAGCAGCCGACTTTGCCCATGTCTCAATACGGCCCCAGCTCGGACTTCAAGGAGGCTTTGGACAGTAGTCCCCAGGCCAATGCAGAAGATGAAAAGACGGAGGAGGACATGCCCATGCCCAAGAACTACCTGTGGCTCACCATCGTCTCGTGTTTTTGCCCCGCGTACCCCATTAACATCGTGGCTTTGGTCTTCTCCATCATGGTGAGTGAGCGAGGGCCAGAAGCAGCCCGGGAGGAGAGACCCTCTGGGCTCTTGCGCCTCTCCAGGGCGCCTCTCCTAGGCAACCCCACGTGCCAGCTCTTTGTTGCCCTCACCTCCTCCTCACTTTTCCTGGACTCTTGGGCTGTCCCCCAACCATCAGCACCTCCTCAGCATTCCTAGTGGTTCTCAGACCCCTGACCAAGCCCCCCACCCCTAGCCTATTCCCTGAGCGCGCAGTCTCCACGTCCCTTTCCTTGCCCCACCGAGGGCTCTGGCATAATCAGTGCCTGTAACGGTCTCTGACTTGCATTTACTCCTTTCCGTCTCGGCTATGACCAGCGCACCACCTCCACCCCTCTTAGAGGGTCACGAGGCGATCCCCTCCTTGGCTCTGGTGCAGGGCTGTGGCACAGCCCGCCGTCCCCTGGGCCACAGTTTCTTTTCGCTTCTTCTTCTGTCCAGCACCCTTTCTTTGCTCCTCTCCAGCACCGGCTTTCCACTGCTCCCTAGACTGACTCGCACCTGCTACCTCCCCAGGTCTGTCTTGGAAGCCCCCGCGCCAAACGCGTGCTGCTCTTTTACTATGTATACCCCAGCACGTTGTAGTTCCTCTCCCATTTGCTGCACTCCGACTCCGCACAACCTATTTCCAGATGCCATTCCACACTCTGTCCTGCGCCGGGGGCGCTGTGCGAGAAGCACCCGGGACTCCACGCAGGGCGCCGCTCTGCGCGCCCTAGGCGCACCGGACTCCTGGGCTGTGAGCGCTCCTGCCGCTGGTGCCTCCTGTCCTCCCTTAAAGAGTCAGCCCTCTTCCACCCTCGTAGAAACTCCCGCGCGAACCCCACCAGGAGGGCGACTAAGCTTGTGAGATTCTTGCCTTATTGACTGGAGCAGCTGGCCCGCGGGTGGCGGCGGGGTAAGGTTCGGACTGGCACTGTCCCGGGACAACCCTTGCAGTGGCGCTCCCTCCCCCACCAGCCCACTTCTCCCGCCGCAGGGCCCTCGAACTGCCCGCCACGGACCTGATTCCGCTCAGTGAAAGTTGCCAGCAACCCAACCCTTCCTCTGCCCACCAGGTCGGCCCCCACGTGCACCCAATTCACCTCTCTGGCAACCACAGAGTCTCCATTTGCACTCGCAGATTGCCCGTACCTAACACCTGGTTCCCAGGCTGTCTGCACCAACTTTCAAGTGCACAGTTTCAACTGCGTGCGTTCAAATTCCGGTTCCACCGCTTGCTAGTTGGGTGGTATCTGGGAATCGCTGCGTCTCTCTGAACCTCGGTTATCTTTGTAAAACCGGAATAATCAATCATAGCCTGGGGTGGCTGTGAGCATTCATGATATAATTGTAAAGTGCTTGGAACAGTACCTGGCATGGAATCTTTTTAAAATGGCACTTCATGAGACCTGATTCCTGTTTGAAATCAACCCCACCCCGACACACACACACACACACGCACACACACACACACCACGTTCTATTCTCCCTTCCTTGTCGCTTTTGGTCCAAAGCACTTCTGTCCATCTATTATTTTATTTATTAAGATGGTCACTGTCTGTGTCCCCTCATTAGAATATAAGCTCTATGAGGGCAAGGTGTTGGTCTTGTTTGTGGCTGCTTCTTCCCCACCCAAAAACGCTTCTGGCACCTTCTGGTAGAGCTTACCAAATATTAAGAAAGGAATGCATGCAGGAGGGAAGGGTGTTAATGGATCCTCGTGTCTACTTTGCCCTGGTTTTTTCCCCAAACTGGAGCCTGGAAACCGGAAGCCATCATATCAAGTTCCTTAGGACCAACCAGCCAACTTCCTTCCTTCCTTCCTTCCTTCCTAACTTCCTTCCTTCCTTCCTAACTTCCTTCCTTCCTTCCTTCCTTCCTTCCTCTCCCCCCAAAATCCACCCTTGGGTTTTATGCAGAGAGGAGCTGGAAGAGATGTAGCAGGCAAATTCTCTATGTGACAGCAGACTGGCTGGCTGGGTACTGGTGCCCACACCCCATCCGGTTTATTAATGAAGCAGCCAATTTGCCCCTTTCCGGTTGCCACTTAGAAATATGCCTAGGAAGGTTTTCCCTTCATTGGTCCCAAATGAGCTAACACAGCAGGTAGTGAGAGGTTGGATACTATTGCTACCACTTTGTGCCCTGGGGGATGACACTGGTACACACTTTGAATAGAAACCTCTTTTTCTAACTCCTTCCTCTCGGTTCCTTCTTCACTCCCATGCCCCACTTTTTTCCTTAGTTTTATTGCAAAAGATTATTTTACTATCAGAACCCAGACCCCAGAGACAGAGGCTGATTGTGGGACACCTTCATACCTTTTGAAAATCTTGGTTCCTTCTCCTCTAGAATGGGAATGTGGACACTGTTTCATATTGAGCAAAACTGTTGTAAGAATGAAACCAAATAAAGCTTGTCACGCCCCCAGCACTGTGCTAGGAATGTGCAATTTACTGACAGACAGATGGGTAGATTTGGAATCTGGAGACATCGTATGTCACATATGAAAACAAGCAGAACATCAAACAAGCGAGAACAAACCACCCTCCCTATTTGGAAGGATTTCCCTCATTGAAACAGTACAGATCTGGGCTTGATTCCTTTCTATAAAGATTCCAGATTTATTGTTGTTGGTGGTGGTGGTAATTTTTCCTTTTATGCTAAGCTACCTCTCCAGTCATTTTTTTTTTAAAAAAAGGTTTATTTTTTAATTGCAGGTGGACACAATACCTTTGTTGTAAGGATCAAACTCAGTGCCTCACTCATGCTAGGCGAACACTGTACCTCTGAGCCACGACCCCAGCCTCTCCCCAGATCTTTGTATTTATTTATTTGTGTTTTTTTTTTTTTTTTTTTTTGAGACCAGGTGTTGTTAAATTGCTAAGGTTGACCTCGAACTTTTGATCCTCCTACCTCAACCTCCTGAGTTGCTGGGATTGCAGGCAAGTGCCATCATGACAGGTTAAAGTTTCCAAAATCTGAGGGGCAAAGAAGAGGAGGAAGGGTGTGCAGGGGAAGGTGACACCCATTTTCTTGTTGCTAATAACACAATACCACAGACTAGGTCATTTATTTGTTAGAAAGAGAGAGGTTGTAAAGTTTAGATCAGGAATATCCTCCAATGCTTTAGTGTGTTGGTCCCCGGTGCAGGAAGGTTCAGAGGTGGGGTTTTGGAGAAGAGATTGTATCTTGAGGGCTCTGACCTCATCACCGTATTAGTCAATTAGTGAATTAATGATTTGAATGGACTATTGGGAGGTGATGGAAATTTTAGGAGGTAGGACCCAGTTGAAGGAAGTAGGTCACTGAGGGCATGTCCTGGAAAGGTAATTCTGTGTCTTTCCTCTCTCCATCTCTCTCTCTATTTCTTCTTCCTGCCAGCCATGAGCTAAGCAACACTCCTCTGCCACACCCTTCTGCCATCATGTTCTGCCTCACCTGAGGCCCAGAGCAACGCAGCCAGGCAACCAGGGACTGAGACCCCAGAAGCTGTGAGCCCAAATAAATCTTTTCTCCTCTGAATAATTTTTCTCAGGTAGTTGTCACAGTGACGAAAAGCTGACTGAACACAGAGGTTTCATTTGGTCCAAGGTCAGGGGGCCACATCTAGTGATGAGCTAGCTGGCAGAGTCCTGAGGTAGCACAGGGCATCTCATGACCAGAGACAGGCAGCACTCCAGAGACCTGGACAAAGTGGCTTTACGGCAGACCCTCCCTCTACATGACTCACTTGCTCACTAACCCAATAATCCATTTATGACGTGAATGGATTAATCCATTCATGAGGACAGAGTAAGAATCACTTCTTAGTGGTCCCAACTGGCCCAAACGCTTAATACCTCATAATGAAGATTAAGTTTCAGCATGAGTTTTGGAGGGGACACACCATTTCCAAATCACAGCAGTGGTCATCCAATCCCGCTGGGTAGACACTTTCCCTAAGGTGTCTTGTGGTGTTCTGTCCTGGCTGTTTTCAAATCTCACTTATCTGTAATCCATGACAAGTCTGGGTACAGCAACGGTGTGGCTGGGGGTCCTGACTGGAGTCGCACCATTTCTTAGGAAGGCACTTGGAAATGTGGGGGAGCGCTTGTGGGAATGTCACTGATTTGAGACATCTGGCATTTGATGAAAAGAGCCAAAGTGCTAATACCTTGCAATGCTAGGAATTGAAGAATTGATGAACCCCAAATACCAGTTGGTACCCCAATGAGGAAACACGCTAAGAGAATACAAATTGATATAAATGTGGATGGGTGAAATACAGGAGAAGGCTCAAGATAACTAGTTCCCAGAATGGTAAAAATAGCCGACAGTCCCCAAGCCATCAATACCTTAATTTATTTCTTAAACCAAGTCTGGGGAGCCTTCAGTAAAATTATGAAGTTGGAGTAGGTGGTGGACAATAAAACTTCACTGAAAAATACACACTGGAGATGAGTGTTCTTCAAGCTGTCGGCCTCTGTGTTCTTCTGTCACCCAATGTGCAGCCATTATGCCATTATGTCGCAGCAGATCACAGATGAGTCCCCAGATGGCACATCTTGTTGTGTTGGAACGTTGGTGGGTCTAGTATTGCCTGCGGCAGGAACACAGAAGCCTTTGTTCATCTGTTTGTTGTTATTGCTTGTTTTTTGTTGTATTTTGGGTTCCTTGGTTTGTTTTATACCAGGGACTGAACCCAGGGGCACTTTACCACATCCCCTGCCCTTTTATTTATTTATTTATTTTTTATTTTGGGACAGGGTCCCACGAAGTTGCTTAGGGCCTTGCTAAGTTGCTGAGACTGGCCTCAAACTTGTGATCCTCCTGCCTTGGCCTTCCAAGTCACTGGGATTATAGGCCTGCACCACTGGGCCTGGCTCCTCTATGTATTGAAAGTGCATTTAATTTGTACTCAACAGAGGGGGACGTATATCTCAAGAGTACCACTCCCAGTCTATAGTGAACCAGTTGGGACCACTGCAGACTGAGCTACTGCTGGCCCATATGGC